GGCACCCTGGGAATAGCCCGTGTGGCCTCCCAGCCCTCAGCCCCTGGGAAGGGCGAGTCCTTTGGATTCCTGAGGGCAAACAGAGCGATAAGAGATGAGAGCAGAGCACGTGTGTTCTCCCTCCCCCAGACTGGGATGGTTCCCCCCACAGCTCCAGGCACCCCATTGCCTTGCAGCGCTGCCCAAAGAAAGGAAAAGGTTGTTCCAGCTGCCTTCCCCAGCTGAATAGAAATGGAAAACTAAGGCTGCTGGCCTCCAGCAGCTGCTCTCCTCCAACCACGTGGCTGTGGGTCTGTCCCTGTTGCCTTTGCTCTTAGCAGACACCCAAGATAACGCCCTGGCGCTGCCAGACCTGACATCCCCACCTGCACACCCAGCCCTGTGCTCCAATTTATTTGCCACCATAAAAAGTCCCCCTCGGGACAGGAGGGGGCTGTGGGAGGCTCAGTCGCGGGGCGGTTGGCACTCCCGGCAGTCCTGCATCTCCTCAGAGTAGTTCTCCACCTGGATGGTGGTGGTGTGGAAGTGGAAGGTGCCCTGCAGCCGGGAACTGGCCTCCTCCAGCACTTCCTGCGCGCTGGCACCGGCCCCTGCGAGGAGCAGGGGAGGGGATGTTGGGGTGCGGGTGAACCCCAAATCCATCCCCAGGGAGTGATACTCACTGATGGCGACGTGCACCGAGAGCAGCGGCTGTGCTGCTGTCAGCGCCCAGATGTGGAGGCTGTGCACGGCCTCCACCCCCTGCACTCCCAGCAGAGTCTCCCGCACGGCGTTGAAGTCTATCCCTTTGGGGGTGCCTGGGGAGGGAGAGCCCTGAGCGCTGGAGGGACAAGGGCCGTGGCACCCAGGGGTGGCCCTGCAGCCCAGACCCCACGCTGGGTCCCTACCCTCCATGAGGACAAGGAGGACGTCGCGGAGGATGGTCAGTGTTGTCCCCAGCACCAGTGCAGAGAACAGGAAGGTGCAGGTGGGGTCCACATACTTGTACTCGGGCTGGAATGGGTGGGAGAGGGTAGGGCCCCTCTGGCACGATCACCCCATCCCAAATCCCCGTTGGCACCAGAGGGGAGGGGACACAGTCCCCTCCGTCTCATCCCTGTGCCGAGCCAGTGCTGGCTGAAGATGCTCTCCCTGTGTCCCCAGCATCCCCTTTGCCCCCAGTAGCCACCCAGACCTTAAAAAAGATGATGTAGGAGGCAATGAGGACGCCAACGCTCTGCAGCAGGTCCCCCACGACGTGGACGAAGGCAGCGCGGACGCTGGTGTTGGGCTGCTCACCGGCTGCGGCATGGCTGTGCCGGTGCCCTGTCTGGTGCAATCAAGAAGTTGGGCTGGTTTCTTCTCATCGTCAAGAATTATCACAAAACCAACTAGAAGAGAGTTCTTAGAAATAAGAAATCCTACTACTCTAGTTTCCTTGTAAAAGGGAGCAAGGACAAAGTCTTTAAGGCACAAAACCATGCGATGACTATTTAACACACGAAGCTTTTTAAGTCCTCTGTGCTGAAGTGCTGGAGCAAAAAACACTTTCATGTATCAAGTCATTAAAATTCTATTCATGATGGGTTTTCAAAGAAATTCTTTGAGGAACTGAAAGCAGTGACTATTTCTGTTCCACAACAGTGAGATAACACCTTACAACCACAGATACAAACTTGCAAAAGAACTCCCTGCCTGTGCGCCTGGTGCAGGGGCTTTGCCAGGGCTTCCTGCGGTGTGTGGGAGCTGGACGGCAGCCCAAGGGGCGCTGCTGCCCTGTTACCTGCCCGGTGCCAACCAAAGTTCATGGTTTTGGTGGGGGGCCGTGAGGACACCCAGAGCGCAAAGAGGCTGATCATGATGCTG